GGAGGACTTTGAGACTCGACAGATTTAACGTGCGTCAGTCACCATTTACTACACAGGAAGTATTCGACCGGATGGGATCGAACCAACGAACTCTTGGATATGGTCTCAATACCGTACCAATCAGGCTATCTCGGCCACTTATTATTTAATCATTATCATCATTTGACTTTTATATCTTATCCTTGGCCGCCTTAACTGTAAATTTAATTTTAGTGAAAACATAAAGTTTGTACAATTCCCTTTCCAAAGAAAAGAATCTATCACCCTGAATAGCTTTTGACCTAAAGAATAGATCTTCACTGTCTAAAACTCAACCCTAATGAGGGAGTGACCTCAAATGTGTTAATTAATTAGTGAAGAAAATATTTTAAGTTACGAAATCAGACACTAAAATGTACTTTATCTGAATAAACATACCTTTTTCTTCGACGGTTTCGGATTTCTGATCCTCAAAATATAGGGGGTAGTCACAATCTGGAAATTATGGTCCTAATAGTTTGGTTAGGAAAGCGGCCCAAATTTGGACCCCTAGTTAATTTTACTTTTTGCGTATTGTGCCCTATCTCAAGAACTTTTGGCACGAGTCGAAAAAATTTTGCACATAATTATAAAATTCGTTTATCCAAACATAATTCTATTCAAAAAATAAGTTTCAGTAAATATTTATTATTCTTTATTATTTTATTTAATATCAGTCGAAAAAATTTTAATTGTAAGGTATAAAATTTTTTTACATCATTTTGAAGTATCTAATTTCACATGGCAAAATACAAAATTTGAACGAAATCGGTAGAATAGTTCCTGAGAAATCGAATTTTAGATGTGCAACTTTCTTTTCGGCTATGGGGCTATATACTATACGGCTATGTACCGAACATCTATTTTTGTCAAATAAAGATCGATTTCAGCTTTGCAACTCATTAAATATCATTTTACATGGGACGTGATCCCGCAAACTATTAGTTAAACACTCATAAATACCAAATAGTGGGGATATTATTTTTAAATTTAGATCTGGATAGCAGGTGAAATTCAATATTCTCGAACATTAACCTCGAAAAGTATTTAAATTCATGGTTGTCAGTCGAAATCTTAACGGGTACTACTCCCCCGATTTATAAGAGATGCAGAGCCCCTTTAAATCAGCCGGACTGGGTTTTTGAACCCACCAATATTCAGAAAAAGAGGAACCCCGCCCAACCTCTTCACTGGACGCGGTCCAGTAGCTGAAAGGTCGATAGCCATTTAGCATTTAAAGAGGCACAACTTTACTTCAATGACATATTCTAATAGATTTTAATTAATTGTTCCAATCTATTTCATTGTTCTTTGTTTTAACTTTATTATTTATTGTTGTTTTTCCTCATGGGATAAACTCTACTTTTGATATATTATAAGAAATTTAATAAAACTATTTCACACCCTCCAAATGCTACGAAATTGACGTATCAGCTGATTTTTACCGGAGGCAGAGATGTAAAAGTTTACATACAGACTTTGAAAAAGAAAAATTTGACTTTAACGCATGTCATCATAAAGTGAAATCACCTACTTTCCACCACTACCTACTCTACAGGGAAGTAGAAAAACTTTGTATTCACTTGTATGAGTTTTAAAAAGTCCTAGTTAGGAATATATCATTAAATTGCATAAAAATGGAATCTTGTAGCAGCGACGCGAAAATATCTAATATCTGATCAAAAATTTCACGCAACAGTAAAAAAAATTGTCCCTCAGTGTTTGCGGTTATAGATGCAGATAAAATTTTAAACTGTTGTGCGTACAGTGAAATTGTTATTTCACTACTGTCAGAAAAATGATTTTTAAAAAAAAGTTACTGAAAGAAAAATAGTTTTGAGACGTCTTTCTATTTGTTGGCCACCTGTCTTATCAGAACTGGTCAAAAGTATTGAAAGTCTTGCGGCTTTGCGGAATTTTGTTTTTAATGTAAATTTGTAAATTTTTCTTCTTTTGTTTTCTACTTACAACTGTAAGCCTCATGCTATACTTTGTGGTGCATGAGGAGTTTTAAGTCATTTAAATAAAATTGAAGAAAAAAAATAGTCCAAAAGCATTTGCTTCCATTTAGTTGCATGCTATTACAGCAAAATATTTTGCAGGCTCTTCAATGTTTTTTCGAAATATGGTACAGATTTAAAATAGAAAATTTTTAGAAACTTCAACCGGCGTCAAAGGAAAATTTTAATAGATTATTTGGTTTGGTCATTTATATGCATGTTTAAAACATTTATGCGTAATAGCTTTTAAAATTTTTTTTAAATAATATATATTAGAGTCGTGGTAGCTCAGGGGATAGAGCCTTACCCTTCCAAAGAGGTGAACCAGGTTCGAATCCCAGCAATGGCTGGCCGATACGAATTCCGAACACGGAGAATAGGTTAAAGTCCCCATTGCCGTCAGGTTAACTGTATAAGGTTTTAGTGGTTTTCCTCTCCACGTAATGCAAATCTAGGTTTCATCAAAATAAGTCCTCCATGAAGCTAAAGTTCTCCCATGAAGTTAAAGTTCTATTTATTCCAGAAATTCCTTTGTCTTCTGGATTGGGTTCATAATTAAAAGGCTGCGGAGTGTAATACATATTAGTAGCCGTAAACCTAAAATTGAGTCGGCTGTTCAACAACGATTTTATAAAAAATCAAATGTATTAAACTAATAATGTGTTATGAATGTTGCACTATGTTGATGATTACGAAAATTATGACTCTTTACATATTACTGAATTACAAAAAAATCCTCAACACATTTTAAACAAAGATTTCGTGTTAGGAAATATAATTTAGGATAAGAATGAAATAAATTTTTGTATCTCATATAAATGACAATAAAGTACACATAAGGTGCATTTCCATCAACAAAAAATGAGTTGTGACAGAATTTACACGACAGCGGCCTTTAACGACTCTTTTCTTTAGTTTTTCCTTTTGACCGTATCGCATATTAAAACTTACTTTTTAAATCTTTAATTATAACATCGAAATATTACTTAGTGAACCCGTAAAATAAATAATTTGAAAAATAATACTTAATTTTAATGATAGTTTTTCTCTAATGGGGAGGATAATTATGATGAGAAACGAAATTAAAACTGAAATTCTCTTTTCTTCACCATCCTTCATCGTATCAAAAAGATAGATCACTAGCAACTTTTGTTTTCGTGTGCTAAAAATATGAAGACTCCACGCAATCAGAATTTATATATTTTATTTTATAACTGTAGTTGAACAGCGAACCCAATCTTGGTTTTACGACTACTAATGTTAAACTCTATTGCCTTGTAATTTTGAACTCAATCCTAAAGACAAGGGAACTCCTAGATGAATTATTTACATTATTTTACCTTCGTGGAGGACTTTTTGGTGGAACTAACCCGCATTTGCGTTGCATGGAGTGGAAAATAACTTCCCACAGTTAGCCTGGCTGCAAGGGGACTCTAACCCATGACCCATCTACCACTGAGGATATTTAACGTCACCACTTAGGTCGATGCAAGCCGAGTGTGGAACTGTATCAACTAGCAAAGGCTGGGATTCGAACCCGGATCACCTCATTGAAATGCGAACGCTCTATCTCCTGACCCTTCGCGGTTTACACAATCTAGATTATAGCCGTCGTTGACCAGCCGACCCAATTTTTTGGGTTTACGACTATCAATATTCAACTCCGTAGCCTTGTAATTTTGAACCCTATTAGGAAGAAAAGGGAACTCCTGGATCAAGTATTGGAAGACTTTTGGCTTAGTGGACGACTTTTCGATTGAACTAACCCTCATTTGTGTCACATGGAGAGGAAAACCACAAGTATCTCCCATGGTTACCCTGACGGAAAAGCGACTCTAACATGATCCGTCTACCACTATTATTATTTCACACCAGCACAGTGGTCGGTGCAAGCCGGATGCGGATTCATATTGGCCAGCCATCGCTGGGATTCACCTCATTGAAAGACAAACGCTCTATCCCCTGAGCCATCTACCTCACGTAATCTAGACAGTCACTTTACGTTGTATATGTACCAGCGTAATCAGCGGCAGAGCAAATAGGAAAGGGTACCTTCCAGGTCGAGTGGTATCGCCCATCAAACGCTGTGCAAAGCATTAAGGTAGCGGGTTCGAATCCCTTGTGCTCTCTGTCCTTCTATTTGACAAAGGTTTATAAGCCTAAATAGAACACACAAGCCTGCAAATGTATGCAAACCTAACAAAACAATAAAAGAGGAGTTTCTACAGAGATGAGATTTTCCTGCTATTAAATATGTCAGGAGCTAAAGAAAATGAATTAAATTTCATCTGGAAAATTAAGAATGTGTCGTTTTGCTGTGAGGAGTCGATCACAAGCCCAAAATTCACTAACGACAATTCCGATAGAATTCCATGGGAAATTACCTTATATCCAAGATTGCATGGAGACAGTATAAGTTTTGATTTGTGCAAAGTGGAAAAAATGAAAAGCACTGTCGTTGATTTTTTAATAAAAATAATTGGACCTAGTGGTAACGTGCTTGGTTTTCACGAGGAAAAAAATATAACTTTTGACGAAAATAACGTTTCAAAAGCAGATATCCTGACAAAAAGTGCCGTTTTGGAACAGGATATAATGCATCACAATAAAGACTTCTTGATCGTTAATTGTTCAATTTCCAGTGCCAACTTCAGTGTCACAAATACCTTTGAATGCATTGCAGTAAGTAAAATAACAATTCATCACCAAAGAATTCAATTTACGTGGGAAGAAACTGAGCTAAACGCACTTTTGGATATGAAGAATCAGATCATTGCGTCCAAATTTGTGTATTTTCCGGATTCAACAAAATACATTATAATTTTCGAAAAAGACATCGAGCATGTCAAAATCACAATCAACCGACGTGAAGTCGATATAAGACAATGCATCGCTTGCAAAATTAGTTTAATTGATGAAGGTAACAAAATTTTCACAATTATGGATAAAAATATATTTTCAAAAGAAAACAATAGATTCACAATGCCATCTTTATTTCCGGTGACTGAAATCATTCATGAAAGTGATAAATATATCAAAAATAAACAAATTATTATATTGTGTGAATTAACATGTTCTTCTACAATCGAATCGGAAGCAGTAATCTATGAAACTGGACAAAAAACGCGTGCTGATGCCAATAGTGCTCATAGTCAACGAACTTTGAAGCAAGATATTCGAACTTTGTTTTCTGATAAAAGTACTAGTGATGTTCAAATGAAAGTTGGTGAAGAAATACTACAAGCTCACAGATCAATCTTATCAGCTAGGTCGCCAGTATTCAGAGCGATGTTCAAACCTGACATGGTTGAAGGGAAAGCTGAAATAGTTGAAATTAAAGATGTCAATACTGAAGCCTTTAAATCACTCATAAATTATATATACTGTGATGAAATTGATCAACTAGATTATGAAAAAGCGAAAAATCTGCTAATAGTAGCAGATTTGTACGAAGTTCTTCGCCTCAAAGATATGTGTGCATCCATTCTGATGTCAGAAATAACTGACAAAAACGCGGTTGAAATCGTATCATTAGCTGAAACCTACTCACACAATGGTCTAAAATTATTTGCGATAGATTTTATCGCTGACCATTCAGATACTATTTTATTTTCACCAGAATGGTTTCCATTTATAAGTAATCATTTAGAAACAGCGACTGCAATATTTCAAAAACTAACAAAAAATAAAATACTTGACTAAAATGAGTGAACACTATATATTTAGCTTATTATATTAATTTCAGAATTAGAATGTTGGTAGTTGTAATAAAGTAATACAATACCTAAATTCTTAATATCACTAAAATGTTGTAGTTAGATAAATGGCATAATTATTTAAATAGAAAAAATTATATAAATAATTATTTAAAAATTAAAACTACATCTGTTAAAATTACATTATTTTTTTCATTTAATTAGTTGCATTAAGCTGAATGTAACATTATTCAGGGGCATTTAAAATAAGTGCCTAAGAATTCAAATTTAAATTTCTGAACTATAACAAAATACTACAATTTTACTAATAAAGCTGTGGGTAAGAAAAAAGTTATTTGTCATTTATCTAGCAAAACATCTATAGCATTAAAAAAATCATTTGTAAGATATATTTTTATAAATTTTTTAAAAAATATTTTTACTAAAAACAATTAAAGAAAATTGTTTTGTTTTTTTCGTTAACTTCTTTTCTAAATGAAATACAATATGATGTAAATGTGTTACAAATGTATCAAATATTTTATTAAGTGCATTGCTTATCTGTTCAAACTTCCTTTTTTTTTTTTTTTACTTATTTTTCTGATGAAACGTTCAACTTTTTTTAGTGCTCGGAGGCTCCGTTTACTAACCCCAATGAATGCTTTGCATTCATTGCTTAGCTGAAAATTTTTTATGTTTTTTACGAAAATGTTTTTCACAGTATAGAAAACTACCACGTAGTGGTTTGTGTATGTTTTTCACAGTATTCAAAACTACCACGTAGTTGTTTGTGTATGTTTTTCACAGTAAAAACAAAATTTATCAATAAAAAACCATTTTGTTAATGAAATTATTGTAATATGCTTCTAACTTCAACTTTTATTTATTGTAGTTCATAATTCATATGCCTCATCATTTATGTTTTTTTACTCCAATCAGCAAAGCAAGAAATTCGACAAGTCGCTCTTGAGCTGCAATAGTGGCAGAACTAAAAAAACACGCGTTTTGGACTCAGAACAGGTGTAAATATGAAAATACACATTTTTTCAGCAGCAATACTAGCACAACTCATACTTCAACTTGAAGGTAATCTTCGTTTAAGCAAACTAAAGCATTTCTTATACATTTTCCTTAGCAATGAAAACTTTAAACCTACTTATCTTCAATTTAATTACCACTGAGGATGGTTATTATTAGCAGTGTGATTTTGCATACTCACTCGGACCTCCATTTAGCGCTAAATCTTGATAATAAGTTCGTTACATGGAAAATTTATTAAATTAAAAACAACCTTTGGAAATACTTAAACATCCCAAAACTGGTTTTAAATTCATAAACTCTAGGCATAATTAAAATAGCAATTAATTCACCTTTATCTTGTAAACTGATATTTACTATTTATTTTATAAATCTTAACGATAAAAGAAATTTGCGTGGAAAGCAAGAAAATAGCTAAACATTATCCAGTGTTACACTATCATGCTACATATATTTTCAACTAAGAAAAACTGCTGTATAAAATACAATGTAGTTGAAATGTATTTATGTATTAAGTTATAAAATTGCATTCATTATTAAAAAAAATTTAATTATTCATTAGTTGCTGCTGACAAAATCCGCTAATTTAGCCTGAGTTTTTCGTTTATTGAAATGCCAACAAAAGGGGAAAGGATTTAGATTTAGCTGCTGTCACTAAAAGTTAAGTGGCTTCGAAAATTAATTAAAGGTTAATTCCCCATCAAAAGCGTTGACAAGTTTGAAATGTGTTGAAATATTATGGGATATAGGTGAAGTGAATTTCACAGAACATTCCTTAAATAGAAAATTCATTTCGGTATTTGGAAGTTATCTTACGAAAAAAATCTCCAAAATGTTCTTGGTTCCTCGAAAACAAAGTATAGAAATTCGCAAAATGGAAGTTCGTTAAATAGAAGTCCGACTATATATATATATATATATTATATGTACTTTTTATATTAAAAAATACTGGTAGCTAAGATTATATTTTAATGCTTATGAAGCGAATTCTTAAATGTCCCTTTTATTCACAAGTGTTTCCATTATTTTGATAATCACCTGTATAT